TAAGTCTTCTAAAAATAATCTGCCGATGATAAATCGTAAATCGTAAGTCGTAAATCTCATCCAAAAACGTGTAGGCAGACAGAGGAATGGCAGGGAAGCAGAGGGGCTAGGCTGCGGGCCACTGTATCACTGGGACTTTCAGCTACGTATTGGCTAATCTAGCTACAAAAGAGAATATCGAGAAATTGAAATCAAACCCGAGTGGTCAAAGCAGCGCTGGATTTGCAGTTGGGCGTCATAAGACGAAAGGGCGTCGCTCAAACTTATACAATGTGGCATCAGTTGTAACGGGAAAAGTTGTGGCCAAGAAGGGCATCATAATGTTCAACCCGCATAAGGAAAGCGGATGGCTAAAGTCAAGCGCGGGGTATCTCAACTTACAAGGGAGCTCGTTCAGGTCGTAGTGACCTTTTCAAAAACGGTTCCTTGCATGATGCAGGGGTCCATGCAGGGACTGCGCAGATGGGGTGCGTTTTTTCTAAACGCTATTGGGAATGTCAAAAAGAAGATCAAATATAATTCGAAAAGAATGAGCCATTCAAGCCACCTTATTCGCCTCCGTTCTAGTAGCCTTGATAGCGTAAAGTATCTGAGGTATTCTTTGAGCAGACATGAAAAACAACGCAAAATAAGGTCAAAATTCAATAATTTCACTGGAATTGTGGTGAACTACGTAGGGGTCCCATGGTCATCTGCTCATATCTTTTCAAAAGGTCCTGCATCTCATGGCTCGCAACGGCCGGTGGTGTGGTGGATAACGTGATGGTCTCTCAATCGATGCATTTGTGGATCGGATTCTCTTGACGACCTTTCTTTTGCACTTTTTTGATCTTGTATTCCTGTGTGCCCCATAATGTATGACCCGGATATAAGCCATTTAAGGGCACATTCTATGAGGTAATGATTCACAATGGGGTCTCACGCAACTATTACGCTCACGAAATACTATCAAAGAAACTGTCCCTGAAACCTTGGTTACGGCGGTTATACGATGCCCTGATCACGAATATGACACTCATTATCGAACATGACGCAATATATCGCCAATTTGGTGCAAAGGCTCTCTTGCATTAACATCACTGCCACCCTGCGCGGCGGGCCTATTTGGCGCCATACTGGCCCCAGATGGCCTCCGCGCCAAAAATAAGTATCAGAACCATGATAAGAGCCGTCAAATCCCCCTAAGTAAAGAGATACGCCGGAAAAATCCGGGCTTTTGTAATATGATGACTGCCCATGTCTCCAGTTAGAGGCTAACAGTCCCCCTCCTAGAAGTCGTTATCCAACATCGTTTATAGGGAACTTTTCGTTTGCTAGTATGCAGACGCATGAGTAACGACTACAAAATTTAAAAAGTGACGTGTTTCTTTTAATGTGAGAGAAACAAGATCCATTGCAGGAGGCAGAGTTCTTCGTTGAAAGCCTAGACGGTAAAAGTGAGAAAGATTCAGGGTGCTGGTTTAGTGACTTCGAAGCTAACACGGTGTCCCTTTAAAGACTTTCTGAGGTTGAGAGTGCGAGAAATGTAAAACTTCTGGGGGTTTGTATACCAGAGACCTTCACGGAGGATTCACTGCCACTGCCATCCGAATGGTCAGTCCACCCGGAAAAAAGTGGATTAAGGTCAGCAGAGGGTCGCCGGTGAAGAGTGTGGGGCACAAAAATTGCGGGCGGGGTCTGCTCTGAAGTGGGCGGAGCCAGAAAATTCTCTCTGTCCCAGAGCACTCCGAAGACCTAAAAAAACGTGGATTAAGGTCAGCAGATGGTCGCCGGTGAGGACCATGGGGCAAAAATGTTGTGGGCGGAGCCTACTTCGAGCTGGGTGGAGCCAGACACAAAGGTCTGTAAAACGGTTCCAGAGCACTCCGAAGACCGTTCAGGTCAGCAAGGGGTCGCCGATCAAGAAATGTGGGGTATACATATTGTGGGCAGGGCCAGCCCGAAGTGGGTGGAGCGAGAAAATTCTCTATGTCCCAGAGCACTCCGAAGACCGGAAAAAAGTGGATCAAGGTCAGCAGAGGGTCGCCAATGAGGATTGTGGGGCAAAAATATTGGGGGCGGAGCCTGTTTCGAGGTGGGCGGAGTCAGACAAAAATTCTGCGGAATGGTTCCAACACTTCAGACACCGGAAAAAAGTGGATTAAGGTCAGCAGAGGGTTGCGATTGAGAAATGTGGGGTATACATGTTGTGGGCTGGGCCAGCCCTAGGTGGGCGGATCCAGACAAAATATCTCCAAAGCTCTCCCAAAGCACTTCAAAGACCTGAAAAAACGTGGATTAAGGTCAGCAGATGGTCGCCGGTGAGGACCATGGGGCAAAAATGTTGTGGGCGGAGCCTGCTTCGAGCTGGGTGGAGCCAGACACAAAGGTCTGTAAAACGGTTCCAGAGCACTCCGAAGACCGTTCAGGTCAGCAAGGGGTCGTCGATTAAGAAATGTGGGGTATACATATTGTGGGCGGGGCCAGCCCGAAGTGGGCGGAGCGAGAAAATTCTCTCTGTCCCAGAGCACTCCGAAGACCGGAAAAAAGTGGATCAAGGTCAGCAGAGGGTCGCCAATGAGGATTGTGGGGCACAAATATTGGGGGCGGAGCCTGTTTCGAGGTGGGCGGAGTCAGACGAAGAATCTGTAAAGTAGCTCAAGAGTACTTCAGACACCGGAGAAAAGTGGAGTACAGAACAAAAGGCGGATATCAGTTGAGTCTAGAAATATGTGAGGGAAGGTACGCGCGGCGAAGCCGCGCCCGTCCGGCGCAGCCGGGCCGTATCAGAAGGAGCCGCGCCGGCGTCAGCCAGCAAGGCGACTGGTAAATTATACGTACTCAGCTCTAAAACTACAGCAGAGCCGAAACAATGACCAAATTAGCCTATTCTGCGCAACTTGTTTTTTCCTTTTTTAGCATTCCCAATAGCGTTTAGCAAAATCAGACCCCATCTTTGTGGTCCTTGCATGGACCCCTACATCATACAACATACCGTTTTCAAAAAGCTCACCAAGACCTGAACGACTCACTTTTTCGAGCTCACCCGCAATACTTACATTCCTGCTGCAACCTGGACCAGTTGTGCTCCAAAAATCGGGAATGGTCAAGAATGTGGTGTGTGTGTGTGTGTGTGTGTGTGTGTGTGTGTTGTGTGTGTGTGTGTGTGTGTGTGTGTGTGGTGTGTGTTTGGAGTCCTCAATTTCTTTGCGAAAACGCAAACGTAAAACGCTTTGATGCTTGCAGCAAGTCTTTCGGCCAAACGTCAATCACGGGCGATAAGAAACTTACTATGAAAACCTACACGAAAACGGGTGCTCTTGAATTCCTAACCGAAACACAAGCGTCAGCTTTGCATGAATGCAAGTGGAAATTCTGTCAATAGAGAGTCATTCGGTCGCCAGGTGGTTATCATAGCAATGGATTTCTGCAGTGTGGTTTTCAAGCGGCTGTATACAGAGAGGTGTCGTGTCTATGGCCTTTTCCTCGCAATTGTTATTGGGTAGTGCTTGGACGGGTAGGATAAGAATGGTACGATCGCACCTCTTTAACGACTTCTTCGCACCTGGACTCGAGGCATAATTAGCGAGGTGCGAAGAACCTCAACTAAGCCGATCAAGCGAGGTGCGAAGGCGACATCATCAGCCGAGGCACGTCCGTGGCTCAACTGCAGCTGACCTCACTTCAAGGAAAGCTGTTAAGCTATCCAAATCGGAAAATCCATTGCAAGCATTTCGGTAAAGTGGGTCGAAAAGATTGCCATATTTTTCATATATTTATTATTATTATTACTATTATTACTTAAACAAGGAACAGTGTACAAACTATTATCAAATAATTAACAAATGTATTATGCAGTTTTGATTGTGACGAATTGAGTCATTTTTATGGCAGTAGCACTCTATTTGGGAACTAGATACTCCGCTGCTGATAAAAGTTCGTTGAATCTGAAAATAAGTACAGTGTCTTTGAGATGTTGCAATGAAGAAAGGGATCTGAAAGGTGTCGCTACTTTGCCATTTCCTCAGATATTTCTCTTTCCTCACCATGTACACCTCTCGCACTGTCTTGGCGTGGGTGTTACTGAAGAGGAAGTTGCCCGGGAGATGGAAAAAGTGTATGGCAAGAAGGGCTCCACGTGGTAAGAAGTTTCTGGTACAGGGGTAACGGTCTATGTGGATCCGCAGAGCGACGTAGTTAGAAAGGTGCCAGCGCGGGGGGGAGCTATGTATGTGGTGGTGCAAGCCTACGTCGTACGAAGGTGCTGGTGCCGGGGAAAAAATTGGGGTGGCGGTGGCTACATACAAAGGAGTGGGGCACGATGTCTGAGGGACCCTGGAAAGGTTTGAACGGGAATCAAAAATTTTTTAATTTCCTGATAGTTTAGTTTTCACTCGATTTATTCCGATTTCGAGTAACTCAATGATCTCTCATTGAATGAGGTCACTTCGCACTCGAGCACGATTTCCCCTGCTTAATGAGGTCGCTTCGCACCTCGTTAATGATGTCTCGCACCTACGGGGCGAGGCATAAGCGAGGGCTAATTAACGGAGGTGTGATCGTACCATTTTTATCTGACCTGCTTGGACACATGTAATAGTGAGCGGTGCATTCGCCTTATTATTTTAACAATATCGCCTTATTATTCAACAATCCATCATTTTTTATTTGAACACTGCGGTACAATTTTTTGATCGTGGAAACTGGCATGAACAGCGTTTTATTCGCACTTGTTGAAAATCCGAAGGTGCTAGATGTCTAAACTCTCCCTGGACATGGCAGTGAGTTCTTCTGAGTTCTGAGGGATATACTCAATTGGAAAACAGAATGTTACTTTTTTATCTGTTATCCTCTTCGTTTTATATGTGAAACCTTCCGCGTTTTTAATAACATAATATATTAATCGAGGTATGCCGACTGGGTCAGAAAAAATCCATAGCCATCGATAAAATTTTCGTATTCGAAAGAAGCTGTGCAAAGTTATTCTTTAACTCCCTTGGCTAATTGTAAACATTTTTTAGGAAACAGACGCGGCACTACTGACGATAATCTCCTATCCTGGTTTCGCTGTTGAAGACCCTGAGTTGGTAGAACAAACTCGGGATACGATTACAACGAAGTTGCTGGGAAAGTATGGGTGCAGACGATTTCTACGAGATGGTTACAAAACAGCTCTTGAAGTTTGTGGGCTTATTTGTGTCACGTATCAAATTTCTAGTCTCGATACTTCAGGACCCTTACCGTTTGTACTATAACAAGTCAGAGTTGCAACAGTTTGAGAACATTGAATGTGAATGGCCTCTTTTTCTTTGTCTGCTGATGTTGGATGCCATGTACAACAAAAACGATGACGCCGTTGAGGACTACTGGCAACGCTTAGAGAGCGTAAGGATAGAACACGACGTGGCGCAGTTCAGCTCTGGGAAAGCATTTATACACACTGTTACCGGCTAATAATACCAACGATATGTTATTCTTGTGTTATTTATCAGTTTCATTTCACTAGGTAGTCCTATAATCTCCGGAACATTTTGTTTTTAATGCTGCATTACTTTTCTTTCTATTATAAACACAAAAAATTTCCGAATGATGTCTTGCTACGCGCCGTAGACTTCCTTGATTCCTGTCAACTACCCAGCCCATTTGCTAGATCCTTTTCGGCTGCCAAGTTTCAGTATGCCCTTCGAGGACCTTACTTCTCTTGCGTCTTGTCTTCATCTCCCCGGGGTTAGTTCCGCGCTGTCTCCGCCATTCAGTAGCCACTCGCTCCTGTCCAGTCCATCTTCTGCCAAAACCATCGCAGTCGCTGCTTCCGTATCTTTAGCTACATGAGCCCTCTTTGTGACCGGAATTTAATTCTCCTGATAGGATTAGTATGACGCTGAGCTGCACAAACGACACACAAAGCGATGCAGAGGTCACGTTTCCTCAACCCGTGGCTTGGAACCGATATCTTCCCAAGGAGGCTCCTTTTGCTCAAGTTTGATTCACCCTCCGGCTGCCCCACGAACGCTATTTCCGAACCTGAACGGAGTTGAACGCGATTCCTGACACACTATGCGTTTGTAACACACCTTTAATCAAGGTAGGATCCAGGAACTTGAAGGTTTGCTTTCACTTGCGATGAACTGTCTTCATCGACAAACTGCTATAACATCATTATGTTCCTCCTGATTTTTCGTGCAAATGCGACATGCGATAAGCTGGCATGAGTCCAAGACATGACCTGACAACGTGGTTCGTTCGGTTTGATTTCTGATCGTATCTGCGACTAGGTATCCAGCGTAGTCAGCGCTAGTGAGTGGATGCTTATATGCGACAGCCCTCCAGTCCAAATTCAGATGGAGCTTCTTAGTTTTTGGTGGAGTGCGGTAGAAACTGCTCTGTTTTAAAGAGATATTTTCATTTTGACTCGATTGAGGTCTGTTTCTATCAAGCTTAGTACAAGGTGACCGTTGTTTCAAAATGAATAATCCTATAAGTAACTCATTCTGTGCCATGTTCGAATGTCACGCCTACTCCGTTTTAGGTGTAAGGAGTGTACGTAACCTCATTGCTATCAGCTTGGCCGCATCGTCACAACCTATAATAGAATTATGGCTTGAGCTACTTTTTCTGGTGAGGCTCGACTCATGGGATATTTTTGTGAATCCACGACCGACGTACCGGAAAATGATACGAACGATATGTACGCTCTCGCATTACACCAATTTCATTTCAGGTGGCCAGGTAGTACCAAGCGGTTGCGTCAGGCAGGCAGGGCATTTCCCATTACGTCAAAAGAGCCCGCGATTACCTATATTATCTACATCGTCTGCATCACATCGAAGTGTTTTAGGGACATCAGTGCTACTCTTCAGCTATCTATGCTTGATACGGAGAACTCGCACAGCGACAGCAAATTTCTTATAAAGCCATATAATCTAGAAAATCGTAGTAACCTAGCAAAGATGTGGCAGGCATTAGGGGCCGAGATCGCGCCTTATCCAAATGGACTTTCCAACAATTTCATGACGGAAGCGGTTATCTACCGTGGGACGTAGATGAAAGCTAGTTCGACACGACGCATTCTGCAAGGATTGACTACTGAATATTGTGCTGCATGGCCACTCAAAACTGGTATCATTTCACTGCATCTCGTAACATTTCTATCATTTTCCGCCAGTGTAACGGAAATTTACAAAAAGCGCCTCTCTCCTACAAAATAACGCCTGAAAAGATCTTCTGCGTTTACCCTGTAGTCTCGGTAGGCGGGGTAGTGACAAGCAGAGACGTTTCGTTTTCCACTCAAAACTTCAGACGCAACGTGCCGCGCTGTCAAGCACACGCTTAACCGAAAGCGCGCTGCTTGTCTGCGCCCTGTCACGCATGGTTGCTGACTGCCCTCGGCTGGTGCTTTCGGTAGCTAACATGTTCGTTGTGGGACCTTGCTATCGACGCAAGTGCCGCACATTTTGGATAGCGGGTGGAATCCCAAACGACGCGTCTACCACAACCTGCCAGCTTGTTCCGGCGCGAGTGGTGTAAGTGGCACGCTGCGAGCCGTCACTTCGTTCACGGCAAAGATCCGTCTTGCAGGAAAGCGTAGTGGGTATTTCCAACCTCGTGAGACAGATTGCCATCTACTAGGTTGTCCGGAAAGTTCTCAGCGTTTTGTGTTACTATTTTTGTACATTCATTGCTGATTAAAAACTCATTCTCCCCTGCGTGGTACATCCTGAAGAGAATTTTCTGTGCTATCTGATGGTATATTTGCCGTTTCACCATTGCTCGATTGACCCTCTTTTTTTCAAGAGTTTTTCAAGCATGTCAAAAGAGCACTTCGGACAATTCTTTTTCGACTATAAGTTGGAACAACCCGCAGTCGAAACAGCTCAACAAATTAACCAGGTGTGGGGGCCCAATAGTGTTGGAGGAAGCACCGTGCGACAGTAGTTCGACAAATTTCGTCCTGGAAATTTCAGCCTTGAAAATAGCGGTCGACCTAAAGCACCTGACGAGGATTTGAAGGCGTTTGTGGAGGCAGACCCATCCCAAACGGTTCGAGAGATTGCAGAAAAGCTAGTCCTTTGCAAATCCATCAGTTGCGGATGGTGAAACGCATTGGGAAGGTGAAAAAACTCGACAAGTGGGTGCCCCACAATTTCAATGACCGGAATTGGCACTCTCAAGGTTTTTTTTCACTGGTTTTGCGGAACAGAAACGACCCGTTTTTGGACCGAATTGTCACCTGTGATGAAAACTGGATCATGTATGATAACAGAAGACGTTCCGGACAAAAGGGTTGGATGCCGACGAACCACCGAAGCAATTTCCAAAGCCAAACCCTCACGCAAAAAAGATTATGGTCACAGTGTGGTGGTCATCGGCTAGTGTGATCCACTATAACTTTTTGTCACCAGGCCAAAACATCACAGCGGAGTCCTACTGTGAAGAAATCGACAAAATGTACCGAAAATTGCGTCAGCTGCAGCCAGCGCTTGTCAACAGAAAGGGTCCGATTCTTCTGCATGACAACGCCTACCCACACGTTTCACAAATCACTATCCATGAATTGAACGAATTGGGGGTTGAAGTTCTAAATCACCCGATATATTCTCCAGACCTTTAACCAACCGAAAAATCACCCGCCATATTCTCCAGACCTTAAACCAACCGACTATCACCTTTACAAACATCTTCAGAACTTCCTTGCTGAAAAATACATCATCAGTCTGGACCAGGCAAAAAAGCCTTCGTGGTTTTCGTGGGTTCTCGACCACCCAATTTTTCCTTTGATGGGATTTATCGACTGGTGTTACATTGGCAAAAGTGTGCCGAGTCGAACGGTGCTTATCCTACTTTATATAATCCGCTATGTCCGTGTGTGTGTGTGCTTTATATAATCCGCTATGTCCGTGTGTGTGTGTCTGTCACGAAATTCATAGCGCCATTCCCAGTGGCAGTGAGACTTTGGTTCCGGTCCTATACTGAAAAACAGGGCCGATATTCGATCTTTCCGCCAGAACACTCTGGATTTCTGCGAGAGAGTAATGGGCTTTCTGCGCTTCAGCGCTAGGGTTTGCCGAAATGGTGGTCTAACCTAGTATGTGCCAGTATGACAAGCCTAGCTGCCTCCAGTTGAGACGGACTCTACTTCCTCGAAGTAGGTAGTAATCGTCTAGAAATGAACGAAACTGCTCATCAGACTGGCCAGTGACAGTGAACTTGTTTTATTACGAGGTCATACTATGAAAATGACCTATACAAACGGTGGGAGACGGAGGAAAACTCTAGGTTGGGTGAACCACTCTGGCGGAACGCGAAATGAATTTTCATTGAGCGCTCAATTCATCTACTTTTGCTTTTTCTTCTCGGGCAATTTCTCATTCCTCGTCTGTCATGGTCCATGGTTTTGAGCACCTTCCAGACTGAATGCGGTATTACCTAGAATATACATTCGAAGAAAAGCCTAGAAAAAAGATTCATGTCAGTGATGCTCGCATGTGTGCGCGTCAAGTCACCGTCTGACATCGGTACAAAAAATTAGATCGGTCTAATCTCGTAGCAACATCAATCAATTCATTTACATAAGTACCTCCCTCGCTGGAACTGCGCCCATATTCTTTTTCTTTGTTCAAGCCTTATTTCTACTAGTTTTGTTTTAAGGTCGTGGTTCTGTGCGAGAAAGGATTTCGACTCATTCCCGAGCTCTACAAAATTGAACGCCAAAATGTGGCAGGTGAAAAGACCGAGAGAGGATCACAGCCCAGAGTTGCAGCTGGTGCAACGTGAGTTAGATGGTTGCGATTGCTTAAAACTCGCGAACCCAGAGACATTGGTTTCTACTTATGAAAATCCAGTCGGATCATTCGGTTGACGCGAGGCGATCGTTATATCTTCTGTTATCTAGTTTCACCAAGCACTTTTTTTCGCATCCGTTGTATCGAGTCGATGATATCGGGTCGATGACGGTGTGTGTCTGTCCGTCTGTCACGAAATTCATAGCGAGCATCGCAAAGATAGGATGACAGCTCCAAGAAGTGATATACACGGCAGGACGGGAACAGCTTGTACTACCAACACAAGGTAGGACGACTATGTACTACTCAAGTGCGGGGGATGTCTTTAAACGACAATGCCCATTACTTTCCTCGACCCTTTGAAACCTGCCTTTCGAATCAGTATTCATAGCCTGTGCCTCTGTAGAACTTTAACTCTCTCATTTCTTTTGTGGCTCCCATGCTCAACTTAAAGGCCGAGCCCGCGTTCAAATTTGATGAGTATGCGGCTCAGATAGTACTAGCAAAGTAGCAAGTAACACCTCAGTGAAGAAACTTCGGAAAGAAGTCATAGGAAAGGCCCTATATAGAACCCCTTGCTTAATTGAGGTTGTAAGTGCTTAGGACGAAGAGAAGGAGCTGTTGCACGAGTTCTCCCTTGTTGGTATCAGCTGTTTCCCTTATCACATCACTCTCATCACTCGACGTGAAAAGAAGCAGTAGCGGAACAGATGCACCATCAACCAACCATTAGAAATGAAGTTGGGCGTGGTGGTCGCCAGGTGGGCGGGGTGGCCGACTCTTCACGAGCGGGCGCCACTACCTCTCGCATTTTTTAGTGACGAAACTAGCATGTCCACCATTCTCATTGGGTGAGTTACGATATCCAAAATGGGTGTGGAAACAACAAATGAACGTGGGCGCTGCCTTTAACTGAGTTTTTCCCGGGCTCTGGAGTGCCCTGGAACTGCTTAACAAATTCTTGAATTTGACTCCTGTATTTTGACTTTACCCGGCTCGCCCCGCCTTCCGTGGGTGCGCCTCTCTCGTCTTTTCCTCTGAACCATTTTCCGCTCCGCCCATCCTAGCGCACGCTTCGCCCTCTGTGGGTCTCAGCTCATCACGTACACGTTCAATTCTTGTCAGATCTTCGTCATATCCTCTCTCTCCCAACCTCCAAACTACCTTGAGGGCGATTCATAAATTCTTGAATGAATCAGACGATCCCGTTTAGGATGTGTCTCATTTCGGCCGCCTACATTGACTGACCTCGGCCCACTTCTTTACAGCCTCTGAGCTGCCTTGTAATGGAATATGAATTTTTGTCGTGGGCATCGCTCACTTGCGACGCATGCCTCTCCCACTGCAAGCCTCCCGGTTATGTCTAGGAGATAAGTAATTCCACAAATGAGAACGCAGGACTGAACGATCGACTAGGGGCAATCAGAAATGGTTTGTCGCACGTTGCAGGAGTCCATGCAAATGTCACAAAAATGATCTTAGTTTTTGGAACGCGCTTTTGGCAGTGCCAAAAAGTAGTGAAAAAGTTCGCTGATAAGGGGTTATTCGAACCTCAGTGGGCTCTTTCGAGCTGTAGCGTTGATTATGATTCATGGCGCGTTCGCTGAACATGAAAGCAAAATCAAGTCATGTAATAATTAGGAGTCAAGAAATAACTTGCTTGGCATGAAATGAGCACTGGAGTTTTTTAGCGATTCTCTTTATCTCACTTCCAGTGAGCAGATGGCTTAGTGCACAACGTGATGTGTTCCGGCCCTTACAACAAGGCACCTCTTGTATAATCCTGGCTCCACTTTTGCCTTTAACGATTTCCGTGTTTTTATGTTTGTGTATGACAGTTAATATGATCAAAATATGTCCCAGTTGGAGCACATGCTATGTTTTATATACTACATCGAGTGCCCACTCAACTTTTACGCACTCAAAACACTATTGAAGAGATTTTTGCCGAACCTTGGCATGCAGAGGGAATTGCAGAGGGATATCCTGTCGCAACATTGGCGCGACTAAGGCGCAGTTTTTCGTCATTTTAGTGCGAAAGCTTTCTCCGTTATCAAGTCGCATTACTAGAGCTATTCAGCGCCATCGCCAAATGGCGTCTGCTTTGAAGTCAGTGCCAGAATCGTGATCGTGTCGGTCTGCTGCTCTAAATGCGAAGCTCCAGTCAAATGTTTTTGAACTTTTTGTTGTTTGCCCGGCCGTATGACTGTTGTTAGGGACTGTCTGCTGGTGGCTGAAGTCTGTCAGTCCCTCGTTGCCTAAAGCTTTTTATTGCTGGTATGCCAACAGACAGTTAAGATACAAGAGTGGACTGCCCTGAGAATATGGAAATGGCGACGATATGTCTTGCTTTCTGCCGCATACGGAGATGTGGCAGTTTGGTTGCTGTTATCAAGCAAATGGTCCTTTGACTCGAAATCTTTTTCCATAAACCTCGCTTTTCAATGAGAACATCCTGTTGCACCAAACTGGCGAAAAATGCGTCGTCACCAAAAGTAAGCGTCGTTCTTATGATCAGAGTATCCAAAAACCTCTATATGCCAGGCTCAGCACAAGTTTCCTCTATACTGTTTCGAGAGCGTAAAAGTTGAGAAGTGGCGTCTCATGTAATAGTAACTTATGAAATGTGCCGCTGCATGACTCATACTCCGGATATACCACTGTTAAACACGCAGGGACACGAAAAGTGGATATCTGATAAATGTAAAGTTTGACCGCAGAAGTGATGCACAAGGTGCCGCCTTGTCGTGCCTTCGAGGGTTTATCACTTTTACCACCAGGTCATCCATTCGCTGAACTGAAACCAGCGTGAGTCGCTGAAAAAAGTTCTATGCTTCTTCTCTGCACACGAGGTATAGACATTCTCTTCACTTTTTTAATTTTTTATGTGTCTTGAGCTGTTTTGAAGTGATGAAAAAAATTCCATAATCTACATACCCAACGAAAATCTATGCGCGACCGACTGTCTTTGCCCAAACCGCCAGAACAGCTTTTCACAAATGGAAATCGCGCATTGTGCCGAGTGCACACAGTCTTTCTGAGGAATAAATCTATAAGAGCTGGGATTCTACGGTGCTGTTGTTATCGGCATCGATCTTTTCGTTTCGCAGCAAAGGCTCGCGTCGACTTCTTAACTGCGCATGTCTTTGTCTCGAGGGCAGAAAATGTATTCGACCTTTCGTGGCAACTGTCTTCTTATTCCTGTTGGTGAGCTGGCGATCATTGCGGTTTTAGGATTGCTTAAAACGTTGGCGACATAGCGTCCCACTGCTGGGACGCACCTTTTTTGCCGCGTGGGACATTGCTCCCAGTGCTGGGATGCGGCATGGGTAAAAAACCAATTTAAAGACGTTTCGAATTTTCAACAGCTGCATATCGTGCATGAAGGCATTGTAGAATATACGGTAGCTGTAAACCGTGCAGTGTGTCATTGAGAGTATTTTATTGAGGAGACAAACGAAAGTGATTTGATAGGAAAAAAGATAATTCTTGGATATATATATAACTGAAGCTCCACATGCATATAGCTAATGTGATAAGGTAACTTTCAACAATAGCAGATCTTAAGACAGCGCCGCGCGATGGACTTTGCAGGTCTCCGGAGTCAAATTTGTTAGAACAGGTGCCAATGAAGCACTAATCAAAAAAATTAGGAAAAAGGTGTGGAAGAGCGTGAAATAGACCTTATAAAGTTTACAGGCATGTGGACGAAGTTTCGCACACCTTTGGTGAGTTCTCCAATACACGTCGCGCGCCTCGGAACTCAGAAACAGCCGTTTTATCATGCCAGCAAGCACTGACAACTGTTAACCATCGGGGCGGATTAACGGGGAAGGAGGCGTCATCCAAGCTCAGCCTTGTTGACTCCCGCCTCGTCAACCACAATCGATTTCGAGCCGCAAGAGTGGGAATTTCCGCTATGGTTGCGTACCTCCGCGTTCGTTTTCACTGGAGGGTTTTTTCACTTTGGTTGATCGCGGAACGCTGCCCTTTAACCGATTCCAATTTACCACCTCTGGCTCGAAAACGTTCCTTTTTCGCGACCAAGTTCCCACGCTCCACGTGAATGAAGCGGGAGTATTCCATGAAATTTCAGGGTTTATCTTGAAAGTAAACAAGAATAGCGAAGCCTTACTAGCTTCTTCAATGGATTATGACCATTCTTCAATTTTTTGGCGTATAAACGCCCTAGCATTTATGAGCATTTCTCAAAAATAGAGAAAAACTGCTTCCGCCAATGTGTTAATCATGGAACTTGCTCGTAGATGAGGCTACACATGCTGGATCAGGATTGTGCGCAGAGTCTAATTATTCCGTCAGGAACGGCAAAAATTATACGGCAGTAATAGGAATGCGCAATCATAGAATGAGCAGGCTTTTCTCATTTTTTCGTTAGTTTTCATTTCATTTTTTTCGGGTTATGGTGCGTGCAAGCGCGGTTGATGTTAAACAATTGGGAGCGCTACAACTGCTGAATCAGGATTGCGCGCAGAATCTGACTATTCGGTCGGAAATAGCAAAAAACTGTGCGGCAGTGATAGAAATGCGCAAACATAGAATTCTCAGAACTTCTATCATTTTTTTTCGCAAATCATTGTGCAAGCGCAGTTGAAGGTAATAAACTGGGAGCTACATAAGCTGAATCAGAATTGCGCGCAGAATCTGATTATTTGGTCAGAAATAGCAAAAACTGTACGGCAGTGATAGAAATGCGCAAACACAATTGCCCGAACTTTTTTGTCACTCTATAAATAGAATTTCCGCAGTTTCCGTCTTTTTTCTTCTTCCATGTCTTGCATAAGGGTTGACATTCCCTGCGCGTTCGATGGAGATATTGTGATCATTGTGAAGAATACATCATACAGTTGCTTCTTTCTTTATCTATGATCTGTATAGATACAGATCAAAGTCTTATTTATAATTCGCATCGTAATTCAAGAGTGGAATGGACTTCGCCTCAAGAAAGACTACAAATCCAATCAGAATGTTGTA